TGTTTTTTGGCCTTTTTTTTTTTTTTTTTTGACAGTATGAGCAAATGTCAAGCTGCTAAGCTACATCTGGGTCCTCCGTGAGGCTCTGCTGGCTTCTCGGTTCGTGGGAGCCAAGCCTAGAGCTCACAGCCCAGTTGGAGGTTCATATGACCAGGAACTGCATTCAACCCCGCAACTCTGGAATGGCAGTGCCTTGCACTGTGGCAGGTGTTTTGTGTAGTTTTTAGTTTTTATTTAGCATGAAAAAAAAAAAAGCTGTCTAAATCTCTGCTGTACAGCACAACTTCTTAAGGGAGACATTTCTTTCTTTCTCTCTTTTTTTTTGTTCTTTTCTTTTCAAGCTTTCTCAGTCCTTATGGATATTTAAGCCCCACGTTGGGCACCAAAATGTTGATTGTTTTTACTCTTTACTCTTGGCTCTCTGGAAGCCCGCCACCACCCAGCTCCCAAATGAGTCACACAGATGCTTATTCTTACTTATGAATGTATGGGCTTAGCTTTACTCATTTCTAGACAGCTGGCCTGTTGCTCCTTCAGTGGCTGGCTGGCATCTGCCAGACTCTGCCCTTCTTCTCCTGTCTCTCCCTTAGATTTCTCACCCGGCTCTATCCTGCCTTGCCATAAGCCAAAGCAGCTATTTATCAACCAATGAGAGTGACACATATTCACAGCCTACAGAAAATATCCCACAGCATTTCCCCTTTTCTGTCTAATCAAGAAGGAAGGTTTTAACTTTAACATGGTAAAATTATACATAACAAAAGAGTTATCATGCAAGAATCAGTTATAATATCCAGCCTATTTGTATTTGGCAAAATTAAAGAAAATACTCTATCATCCATCCTATTTTTTGTGAGTCTAAACCTTCATATATAATTTATCTTTTATCATAACTAAGGAAAACTATAATTACCTAGTCTTCAACTCTATCAAAGACCCAAGAAGGATATAATATTACCCGAGAAAACAGGAAGTGCATTGCAAGCAACTTCCAAAACTCTTAAAATGGCAGAGACATCTGGCTGACTGGACAATCACCCAGTGTTCCTCTGCAACGTTGGGGCATCCATCTTCAGCCTACAGGTCTAGAATCTCTGGCAGACATTTTAGTGAAACAGGAAATTTGAAAGACTGTCCCACCTATACTGGCAAAGTTTGTCAGTTGCTTTCCTCTGTGCCCTGCAGAATGTCTGGCATTTTCCTCTGTGAAGCAGGAACCTGAAGGACCATCCCACCTTGTTTTGGCAAAGTTTAGTGATCACTTTCCTATGGGTCCTGC